GGGTTTCTAATGGCTGATTTTTCAGAAGCAGATCACCAAGCCTTTCTTCAGAGGCAGCTCTGGGTGGACTTGAACCACCAACCTCTTGGTTAACAGTGAAGCTCTTAACCATTTGCACCATCCAGGGACTCCTTGTAAGGAGCTCTGGTGGCGTAGTGCCTAAGGCATTTGACTGCTAACCAGAAGGCTGGCAGTTCAAACCCATCAGCCATTCCTCGGAAGGAAGACTGGGCAATCTACTTCCATAGAGATACCATCTCAGAAACCCAAAGAGGGTCTCTATGAGTTGGAATCGTCTTGACGGCAAGGAGTTTGGTTTAGTTTGGTAGGGACTCCTTGGTGGTGGTTGGGCAACATCTTGGTTAATAGGGCAACTTTAATTAATGAAAATGAGTCAGAGTGAGGAATAGAAGTAATGTCTAAACTCAGATTTTCTTGAATATTCAAAGACTTTACTTGATCTATCACCAACACCCTACAATGATGAAAAGCAGCAGGCTTGCTTTCCCATATTGAATATTACCATCTTTCAGATTACTTGTTTCATTTGTCTTGAAATATCGAACATGGACACTGCATAACCTGATAGTTTCTGATGATGTGTTATCAGCCTACATCTTGAGAAGTTTTATTTCAATACTTGGTATCTGTGCCTCACTGTGAGAATTGATTTTAATTTCCTCTTCGAACTGAATCCCATGTTCAGGCTATAACTGATATGGTTGACTTGAAGGGAACACATTTAATTAGGATAGATTCAAATGCTATTTTTATCCTGTAGATGTATTTCCACAGGATAATTTAATTCCATGCAGAGTACTGGCCTGGAAGCAGAGTCTTAAGGATAAGCCTTTGAAAGCCAAGTCCTTGGAATTCACACACAGTAAAGGGCACATTTTGCTCACAGGGTGGTGTGGATTCAATACAGGGAGCCCAGTTAGAAATTTGAAGCATCAGAGAGCCTAGTTAGTCTTTGGATAGCCTTTATCAGAGTTAAAATTATTTCAGTAGAAGACACCTCTAACCTATCCAGAAAGAGTTCTTGTTTGTTTGGGGTTTTATGGTTGGGGACATTTATTTAACAGCAAGTTACAAAAATGGCACCTTCATAAGTCATTGTCAGTCAGTTAGGACTTTAGAAGGGCCTAGTGCCTTAGGCTACCTCTGATATGAATTTCTTTTCTCTACTATCGGACTTCTATGAGAGGAGACAGAGCAATTACATTTATGTTCTTTTCAGCTTGTTTCTGACCCTGACTCTCCAATGTGTTAATTGCCATTTCGTGGAGAAATAGCTTGATTCCCTGAGATATAATAGAAGAGTATATGCCCCTTTGCCTTCGGGTGGAATGTCTGGAGACTCCTTGGCCCA